CATAAAAAGAGATGAAGGGGCTGGAGAGATGGTAAGGTGCTTGCCATGTGCACCTGTGTTTGGGTCCCCAGCACTTACATTACCAAAAAAACAAAATGAAAAAGCCCAGCAGCACATCTAATCCCAGTGCTAAGACAGGAGATGGAGCAGGGAATCAGTCTAGCCAAATCTGCATGCTCCTGGTTCAGCGAGAGACCCTGCCTTGGAAAGTAAGGAGATGAAGCAGTGATGGAGGAAGTGAGCTGAAGTTGACCTCTGGCCTCCATAGGCACGTGCACACACATGTGCATGTACCCCCATACACCTGTGCCCTTGCACACGCATGCACAGGCACACATACGCCACATATGCAAACATGAGGTTTGTCATGAGAGCAAGCATCATGGGCCGATGGAATCAGCACTCAGAAATGGATGTTTATCGGGGAGCGAAGATGAGCAGTCTCAGCTTTCTCTGTGAAAACCCCGGGGGAGAACAGGCAATAAACCTCAGGAAAAAAAATCAAGGGCAGCCTGTCCCCAGCAGTGTGTTACAAGGTGGCTTTTCCCTGTAACCATCAACGTCTTCCCCTGAGTGTGTGCAAGGCTCTGCTCCTGGACTTACCCATGTCACCGGACTTTGCCCTACTGCCAGGCACTCCTAAAGAAAGACATGCAGAGCTGTACTTGGACATCCTAAGGCTCTGCTCACTTGGGGGGGCTAGAGTGGGGAGGAAACAAGGAATTTCTATGGCTCTCCCTTTCCCTCAGTACTTGCCTTGACAGTACTGAGTTTGGAATATACGATGCAGTTTTTCATCCATGATGATGCTGTACGTATGCCATATATAGGATGGCATAACGGGAAAAAGTGCTTGCCACCAAGCCGATGACCTGAGATCCCACGTGATGGAAGAAGCAGGGTCCTTTGGGTTGTCCTCTGACCTCTACACATATGTCATGGCGCCCCCCACCCCCATCAGTAATAAGTAGGAGACTCAATAAAAAGTACCCCCCCAAACCAGAAGAAAAGTCCAGATCAACAGATGTACAAACCGTGATACAGAAATGCAAAACACTGTTCAAAACGAAAAAGAAAGAAAGAGAGGAAGGAAGGAAGGAAGGAAGGAAGGAAGGAAGGAAGGAAGGAAGAAAAAGAAAGAAAAGCATCCGGACAGCTACAAAAAATCAGACCGCCTGACTCCATACTCAAGACACTGACTCAGGTAAAACAACAGGAAGATTTCAAAAGCTTTCTGTTAAAATGATGTCCTGAAAGACCGCACAAAGAAGCAGCTGAACTCAGTCCAGGACCAGGAGAGGAATGTCAGCGACACAGAGAGACAGTTAGCAAAATGAATGAGAAAATTAGCAATATGAGTGGAAAGGTCAGAGACATAGGAAAACAGCAACAAAGGAACTGAGGTTTTAAAAAATTAAATAGAAATGTTGGAAGCAAGAACTTTGATGAATCATTCAAAACAAAACAAGCCACACACACACACGCAGTAGAAAGAATCTTCAGTAGATTCTACCAAGCAGAATAAAGAAATGCAGAGATGGAGAATAAGGTTAATGCTCAACCTCCTTAGTGTAAATGAGCTCTAGGCTCCATCACTTAGCTGGTTAAAACACCTGTCTGGTAAATTATCTCCAGCCATAAAGAGGCAGGCTAGATTACCAAGCTAGAACCAACTATGTTGTCTACAAGAAAGACATTGCATAGCTGGGTGGTGGTGGCGCATGCTTTTAATCCCAGCAATCAGGAGGCAGAGACAGGTGGATCTCTGTGAGTTCCAGGCCAGCCCGCTCTACAGAGAGTTCAGGCCAGCCAGGGCTATGAAAAGAAACCCTGGAGAGAGACCAGAGTTGGGGGTAGGGGGATATTGTGCTAGTAGAGACTCCCATGGATTGAGAGGTAAAGGATGAAAACAATCTTCACAGCAAATGCGAACCAGACAAAGCGCCACAGATAATCTGGTATCTGTTAAAGCTGACTCTAACCCAAACATAGTCAGAAGAGGTTTTAAAAGACAGCTACATATTAATAAAACAAATCAATTCACCAAGAAGATAGAAATATACATGTATCAATTTCAGAAAACAAACACTAGTGATCATAAGAGGTTGGACCCCTAAGATGGACTGGGGAGGTGGGGTGAATCACTGGACCCCTAAGATGGACCTGGGGATGTGTGGGAGTCACTGGGCCCCTAAGATGGACCCGGGGATGTGTGGGAGTCACTGGGCCCCTAAGATGGACCCGGGGATGTGTGGGAGTCACTGGGCCCCTAAGATGGACCCGGGGATGTGTGGGAGTCACTGGGCCCCTAAGATGGACCCGGGGATGTGTGGGGGGTCACTGGACCTCTTTATTTCTTCTCAATGTGACACGTTGACTAAATCACATTTCTCTGTTCTTCGATATTTGCTGTCTATTAATCAGCCTGCTGAGGATGGGGGACCAAGCCCAGCTTGTCAGGGCTTCCAGAGCCCAGGCTGTGTCCCTAACACCCCACCAACAGTATGAGGCCCCCAGCCTGCAGCGTAGAGCTTCAGCTGTCATGAAGGGAGCCCACTCCCAACTCCGGGCTCCACCCAATCTCCCGCAGAAAGGCCTCCTGTTTCCCTCAGCTGATGGCTTCTACACGCTCAGTGTTGAACCTTTTCAAAGCAAAACACTGGCATGTTTGTTTGTTTGTTTGTTTTACCATGGAGAGTGTTGTCTGCTGTTGCTTTCCTCCTTCTATCTCCTTTGGTTCCCAGCCAGGACATGAAGCAGGGAAATCAGTCTCACCCTAATTTCAATGCCAGCCTGTTCCTTTTTGTCAACAGGTTCCTCTTCCTCTGGACCTGATCCATGATCCTTTCTGTTCCCTCTGACAAGTTCAGGCCTAGGAGCTCCTGGAGCACTCAGAGGGGTCAGCTAATGCACTGACTGAGGGCTTCCTTGTGACGCCTGCCTCGTTCCATTACTGGCCTCTGTATTACTAAGAGATCACTAACACACACAGGAAGGCGGCTTTCTCCTAGGGTTCCCGACTCCAGAGCCTAGAGTTTGGCAGAGTGAATGCATGCATGTGTTTACTGTCCCATGTCAATTTGTAATGGAAATATCCCTGCTTTATCCTGCTCCTTGACCTCTTGCAAACAGTCTGTGTTTGGGTGTCTGACTGTCCAAGTGTATACTAAACAAAATGCAGTGTTGGCAAGGATGGAGAGCAGTCTTCAACATTATCACAGTATCTGTCAGTCATTAAGTACCTGTTGGGGGTGGGTTGCAGCCGCCCAGACCCTGGGTGAGTTTCTTTCCAAGCATTACACGGGCTGTACCAGGGAGCTATGCACATTCCTGTTTGTTTCATTTATTTCATTCTGTTTCATGTGTGTATGTGTGTGCACTCACACATGCTTGTGTGTGTGCACATGTTCATGTGGGTTTGAGTGCACGTGCTCACATGGATGTGTGAGGTGGAGGCCAGAGAACAACCACAAGTATTGTTCTTCGGGGGCTGTACACATCTTTTTTATGGAGACAGGGCTTCTTGCCAACTTACCAGCCTGGAACTCGCCAATCAGGTTTGATTGACTGGCCAGTGTGCCCCAGGGATCCATGGGTCTCCACCTCCCCAGGGCTGGAACACCACACCCAGATTTTCTATGTGAGGTTGTGGCATCAGGGACACTACACACTGGCAGGTCCTTATGCTTGTGAGGCAGGTGCTTTATTGAAGGAGCCATCTCCCCGGTGCTAACTTCCCGGTTTTATAAACAAGGGAAACGCAGGCTTATCAGGGATTCTCCCAGGATCCCCAAGCTTGTCCGCAGAAGCTCTCCAGAATCAAGTAAGATCCCAGGATTCTTTCTCGCTCTTTCCCTACCACAGGGCCTTGAAAAGAAGGCCATTCACTGGCTCAAGGCAGCAAGGGGTGGGTGTTTGAGAGTGCAGCTCCCAGGAGGTTGGGAAGCTGCCACCTATACACACAGAATGCATGAGCTGTAGTGATGCGCCAGCCTTCCTGTACACACCTGCTCTTCAAGGCTACAGAGTGTCGACTTTCTGAGTATTACTGTTTCAGTCTAGATATCCCCCACAGTCCATGCTGATAGATCTTACATTAAGACAGAAAGGACATGAGCTCAGGAGTTGGCTTCTGTCGAACCCGGTCACCTGAGGGATCTGGTGCCACTGTTCTCCCCCACCAGCGGTGACAATAGCTAAGTTTCACGACATGTATTGAGCAATTAGTGTATCTCACTCAGCCACTTTCCCAAATACTTTAAACATACTAACAGGTGTCATTTCCTAAGAAAATGGTAAGGGCAGGTCTAGTGTTTCTTCATTTTTCCAGAGAGAAAAGAGTAAATGACTTGGATTAAAAAAGACTTTTTGTTTGTTTGTTTGTTTGTTATCGAGACAAGGTCTCACAGTGTTGCTTTGATTGGAACTCACAGAAATCTGCCTGCTTCTGCCTCCACAATGCTGGGACTAAAGGCATGTGTCACCACTCCCGCCAGAGTTGGCCCTCAAATACGAGTGCTTTCTCTCCCCTGGAGTGCATTTATAAAATACATTTGCTTGTCACAGCATTGGGGTGTGAGGGGCATTCAAGGGGCTGGGGCCAATGGGGCTGCTAAGCATAATACACAGGACGGATACATGATAAAGGCTCAAGGCCAAATGTCCCGAGTGTTGAGAGGTTGATGGACCTCCCAGCTCCAGAGCCCAAACTCTAACCTAGTGTGATTTCCTACAGGAAAACCTTAACTTTACTCTTCTCTGGGCTCCGGGGAGACAAATGGTGACAGTAGACTTGGGTCTCACACACATGGTGCCTGGCAGGTGTTGACTTCCTAGCCATTGACTTCTCTGCCTCATCAGCCTCAGGAAGAGCAGGGTCAGGAGATGCACAAGGCAGCCTGTCTGCAGAGGACACTTGGTTTATCAGAAGTTGGACTCCATTATTCACCCTTGCATTTCCTGGCTTGTTGAATGACCACTGTTTATGTTTGTGTTTACAGTCGATTTGGGAATAAGCATCCCCAAGGATAACACCGCCACTTCTTCCCCCAAGACAATGAAGGCCCAAGCTGTGGCCAATGCCAGCGGAAAGAATCTTGGGAAAGAAGCCAAGCCCGAGGCACCAGCTGCTAGATCGAGTTTTTTCTTGACACTCTCTCGGCCTGTACCAGGACGTCCCGGGGACCAAGGCACGGATTCATCGGCTGCATCGGGCAAGCTTGATGTCAGGCCCGGCACAGCGCCTGCGAACAAAGACCCAAGTGAGCACGGGGCACTTCCGGTGGCAGCTGCGCCAGGGCCGGCTGCAGATAAAGCGCCAGGGTGCACTGAGGCCAAGCAGCCGGCCTTCCCTGCCACCTGCTCACCCGCACCTTCACCACCTGAGTCCAGCGCAGACGGCACCTCCAAGCCCAAGGACTTCAGCTTCTTCGACAGACTATTTAAACTAGACAGAGGCAGAGAAAGTGCACCAGTTGGCCGCCAGCCTGAAGAAGCCACCAGGGTGAGAGACCCAGACCAGGCCGAGGAGGCTCCTGCTTTCACAAGGAATCCCCATGGTGACCCTGCTGGAGAGGTAAGTGTGCCACATTTTACCTACTTCCTCTTCAGTGGTTGCTTCTGTGGGGGACACTGATTGGGTGGGGCCACTGCACATGCCACCTATAGTCATCCAGGGTCCTAGACAAGGTAAGCCTAACCTCTCCTCTATGTTTGTGTAGGCAGAAACATCCAAAGAGCAGTCTCTATAACCTGTGTTTTATGGAAAGAGAAAGAGGTGGTAGGTGACATACCTAGAGATGTATCTGGCCTCCTCATCCAAGGCTGGGGCACGGGGCCCGTGCTGATGAGCCCAGACTGAAAGGCAGAAAGGAGCCCAGACTGAAAGGAAGAAAATGACTCCTAACAAACTTAAGTACCCGGCTGGGGATGTAGACTGTGAGTGTTCGCCTGCCGTACTTGAAGGCCTGGATTTGATCCCCAGTCCTGCAAACACCAGGCATGGAGGCTCCAGCTTCCTGTCCCAGCCCTTGGGAGGTGGAAGCAAGAAAATCTGGAGTTCGAGGTCATCCTTGACTACTTAAAGCTAGCCTGAGGTACATAAGACCATGTCTCAAAAGTAAAAACAAAAGATCAAAAACAAGGAATTAATTATACAGCGACGATTCGACCCCAGTGTAATTGCAAAAAGACAAGAAGTCTAATGCATTGGAGCCCCTGCTGTCAGCGTTTCCACTGTGTGTACCCCTACATTGGACCCAGGGTTTGTCTTCACATGTTCTTTCGTATGTCTACTCCCAACTGAGCTAGTTTGACAAGCAGTCCAATGAGCAGCATGTGGGGAGGGGGTCTGGACTCTCGGACAACAGCCTTGCAACACAAAGCGTCTTACCTGCACAAGCCAAGCGCCCTAAGCTGCTCCTCCGAGGGCTCTGAACTGGGCACCAGTATTCCTGACGATTGTGGCACCGTTCACACACATGGCCTGGCTGGGTTTGCATGGGCTCAAGAGCCATTCAGAGGCGGTGACTTAAACAGTCATAGGTTTTTAAGGGGTAGGGATTCACGGCCAGTCCATTGCCTGAGTTATTTATAAGGAGAGAATGAAGAGCTGTGCTCTGCCCATCTTTGCTCGGTTGCCTAGTGACTCAGCCAAATCCTCCTTAATTAAACAAATCAAACCAGCATCCGCCAGCCAGTTCTTGATGGTGTTCAGTCACAAAACCCTGGGCATACTCAATCTACTCTTAACTCTGAAAGGACTCGGTGACAAACTGTTGTGAAGTGGTACTTTGCAAAGTCAGCCTCCTCTATCGGGCTGAGATAAGGGACCCCCTCCTAGACAGGCAGCTGGATTTAATTGCAGTGGGTTCCCAGGTGGCACTGGCTTCAAGACCCAATGTGTGGTAGCAACATAGCAAGTATGGATGCTGTCCTCCAGCCCGGAGTGATGTTTGGAACTGAAATCGTCTTTCAGAGTAACCCCACCCCAACTTATAAACATGTTTTCTTTCCTGGGTAAAAGACCTCTCTCACATTTGCCAAGGAAGTGTTTGTGCTTAAGTGTGTTACACTTCGAATTTCCATTTTAGGGGGTTGGCAATTTCACTGAAATTTGAAATATTGAGTGTCTGTCGTGTACTATGCACAGTAAAAACATCTTTTTACATAGTGTGAAATAACCATTTCTCCTTCCGTCTGCAAGCATATGGATATTTGAATGTGTATATGTGCAAGTTTTTTGTTTGTTTAAACTAAACAGCAAAAAGCCTAGGGTTCTGATTTGTTCAGTTTTCCCATCTAGTCCCTGTTGTGGCCTACTTCTATGTTTAGGGGAAAACCAATCTTTGTTTTTTTTTTTTTTTAAGTATAGTGAGAAAATGCAGCCCTTAGAAAATAACACAAGTAAAATGTTGAAATCAATAGCATTTTTGGAACTAGTAACGCCACAATGCAAAGTTGAACATTGGATGTATCGATTCAGAATTCTTAGGGTAAATTATGCATTGGGTTCTGCCAGGTCAGCTCTCTGCCTGGCCCATCCCCCACAGTTCTGCGCCTGCACACCCGGGCTCTCCCCCTCCCCCCCCCAAATGTCTCTGCATGCTGGGTTTGGAATTCCAGCCACAGGCCCACCGAGATGTGAATTAGGACAGAGATAACTGACCCCCAGCTCATCTGGGGGGGGGAGAATAAACACACAAATCTGTGTTTTCAGAATGACAATCTTATTTGTGCGCCTCATAAAACTACATTCAGACCATAGCATAATTAAAACAAGGCAAGAATTCATGGACAAATGGAGCATTTAGCACAGAGACCAAAGAAAAGATAAATTATAGACCTGAAAGTCTGACTGAGCTGTGATTCACACAGACCAACTGGTTGGCAGGGCTGAGGCTTCCCCCCCCCCCCACTCTCTCCCCAACTGAACCAGAGTTCTAAGATAAACATTTAATAGATTTCATCGCACGTGCACAAAATGATCCTATAATGGGAATCTGGCCTTACTGGTTATAAAAGAAAACACTGGGTCTCTGTTTCCCCCATGGTCCTTCCAGGGCTATCTTTGTGGTGGGGGGTGGGTACAGGGGAGAGTGATGGCTGCCAGGGATGGTTCCTTCGCATTTAAGAACTTTTTGCTTATAAATGTATTCAAGTTCTGCACCGATTGTTTAAACACAAGCCTGGTACAAGAGGGGAAGGTTGGTCGGCTTTCCTAGTGCTAACATCTTATCTAATGAGTTTCTTTGTGCGCCCTAAGCTTTTTATTACACTTATTTATTTACCCTGTGTGCATGCATGCACACACATTGGAGGCCAACCTGTAGGGATGGCTAGTCTCTTTCCATTGCTGTCCCTGAGTTCAGTCCCTGGTCATCAGGTTTGGCAGCAATCACCTTTACTTACTGAGCCATCTCTCCAACCCTCCTTGTAGATTTTTCGAGACAGGGGTTCTCTGTATTGCTTTGGAGCCTGTCCTGGAACTCGCTGTGTAGACCAGGCTGGCCTCAAACTCACAGAGATCCACCTGCCTCTGCCTCCCGAGTGCTGGAATTAAAGGTGTGCGCTACCAACGCCCAGCCCTCGTGGATTTTCTTGAAGCCTTGGGTCACTCAGGCCACACATGTGGAGAGCAAGCTTGCTGTTTCTGCTTCCTGCTCTCCTTTCATCCAGAAGGAGCACTCAGAAATGCTCACCAAATGGAAACACTAACTCTAACACCAGAAAATAAACCCAGTGCTTGAGAGGTAGAGGCAGAAGAATCAGATGTTCAAGGTCATCCTTTGCTTCGTGGTGAGCAGGAGGCGAGCGAGCCTCAACTGCACAAGATCCTTCCCCCCCCCCAAAAAAAAACCAAACCAAACAAACAACGATGAACAGCAAATGGACGAGCAGTCAGTTCCAGAATGTCAACTGTGGATACATTAGGATGGGAAATAGAGAGGAGAGTGATAATTAAAATAGATGGGAGGACAATTCAAAAGCATTATCTAAAAAGACAAAAAACTGCGTGTGTGTTTTCTTTCTTTCTTCCCTCCTTCCCTGTCCCCCTCCTCCCTCTCCCCCCCTCCCCCCTTTCTTTCTACAATACCAGGCAGTACTTAGAAAGTTGACTGTCCCTATTTTGGCATCACTAAAAGCACTTGTCACTATTGGAAAAGTGTGTTAAGCACACAACATATCCATCTGGACAGTGGGTTTTGAGTTTGTGGTAGTTTGGGGCAGTAATTAATGCTGGGGTTTCCCCCTCCAATAATTAACAGTCAAGAGGGACGCATACGACAGAGGTACCTCCTGCAAGCCCTCATTGCCCTCTCCCTGTCAGCGCGTGAGTTCACACCTTGCCAACAGCAAAACTCACATTCTATTCCAAGCCCTGAGTAAGAAGGAGCGAACTCACGCTTGTGTCCCTAGGTGCAACCCTAGGTGGTTACTGATGCCAAAAACAAAGCCAGAACCTGGGGATGTAGCTCAGCTGGCTAAGGGTTTACCTGGTGTGCCGGAGACCCTGGGTTCCTGTCCCAGCATTGCATAAAATAGGTTTGGTAGCACAAGCCTGTAACCCTAGCATCAGGAGGATAGAAGGCAGAGGATCAGAAATTCAAGATCATTCTTAGCCATATAGTGAGTTTGAGTCCAGCCTGGGCTACATGAGCCCTTGAACCAGAAGAAGAGTCCATTGAGCTAAAAATCTATTCACCTATCTGAGCTGATGGGAATCAAGCTGCCAAACTAGGCTTCGGGTCAGAGAGAAGAGAGTGAGACAGAAGGAGAAGGAGGGCGGGGGAGGGAAGGACGGTGGGTGGAGAGAAGGAGGGGGCCGTTGCCTACAGGAAGCAAGGCGGAAGGAACCATTGGACTTCTCTGATGTTCTTTCCACCCCCCCCCCAACCTCCAGTCACAGCCAGCCAGCATGGTTAAGGTAAGAATCATGTTCCCCAGTGAGCCCATGGCTTTAGGCAATATGATGCCAATGTCGACTTCTTGGGGAAACATAGACTAGCTTTACACACACTAAGGTTTGTCTGCAGAGGAGCAAAGACAGGCGGTCATTTCCAGTGTGGTGCCTACATAATGCTTCAGTTGGCTCAATTAGAAAAAGCAAATAAAATTGACAGAGTTGCCTCTTTCTTCCCCCAAAGAAGAAGGAAGTGGGATCTCTCTCAGAAAACATGACAGAGGCAGTAGAAACTTACATATATGTATGCATGTATTATGTATGTATATAATTCTATTTTACATGTATGGATATTTTGCCTGCTCCAGTATTGTATACCACACATATGCAGTGCCCTCAGAAGCCAGAAGGGGGCGTCAGAACCCCTGGAGCTGGAGTTACTGATGAAACTTTTGTGAATGATTATGGTGGGGGGGCGCTGCGGGGAGGGGGGAGGTGGGGGGGTGCTAAGAGCAGCAAGTGCTCCAACTGCTGAGCCATCTCTCCAGCCCTTAGATACATGGATCCGTATGTAGTGTGTTTCAACCCTGTATGTTGATGACATAAATTTAAAATATTTCTTTCAAGCACAGTCACCTTTCAAATGGCCCACTTTATAGTTAAATATTTATTGA